ATCCACTCCAATCAGAGACCCCTCGGGGGATGTCTGACCTCGGTCGGACACCCCTCTCACAATCTGGGACCGCTGGCTCCTAACCACTCACCTGCCTGCCTGCCTGATCGCCCCTAACTGCCCTTCCCTGTCGGCCTGATCGCCCCCTAACTGCCCTTCCCTGCCGGCCTGATCACCTGTAACTGCCTCTTCTTTGGCCCCTGCCACCGTGGCTTTGTCTGGAAGGACATCTGGAAGATGTCTGGTCTAATTAGCATATTACCCTTTTATTAGTATAGATTGCTTCTGCTAGTCTGATCGCCCCCCGAACTGCCTCTGCCTGCCTGATCACCCCTAACTTCTCTCCTCTGCAGGCCAATTTGGTTCTGATAGGTCAGTTTCTATGCCAGTCAGCATCAACAGCTCGCCTCCTAAGCAGCCATTGGCTCCTCACAGTTGACCCAGATTTGATTCTGATAGGCCAGTTTCTATGCCAGTCAGCATCAACAGCTCGCCTCCTAAGCAGCCATTGGCTCCTCACAGTTGACCCAGATTTGATTCTGATAGGCCAGTTTCTATGCCAGTCAGTGTCTCTGGGCCTATCAATGGGGCCTGATTAGAAAGATGGGGCTGATCAGCAGCCCCTATGGAGGCCTGGAGAGAAATGGAGGCTCTGCTGTTGGCCAGGCCAGGAGAGAAAGAGAGGCAAGTTCTGATCAAAGGCTGCCACAGAGGCTACAGATCAGGCCCTGCCTCTCTCTCTGCAGGCCTCTCTCTGTGACTGATCCACAGCCCCCTAGGGAGTCAGTGCTGGGTCTGGGTGCCCAAAGTGGCCAGTCAGTGCTGGGTCACCATGGCAACCCAGCACTGACTTCTAGTCTGGTCAGCCTTCCGTCCTTATGACCCTGGCTCTTTATTATATAGATCTGTGTGTGTGTGTGTGTGTGTGTGTGTGTGTGTGTGTGTATAGTTCACATATATACATGTAATATATACACATATGTATTTTACATATATACACTACTGTATAAATGGTGTGTATATATAAATATATACAGATAGTACTTTGGGAGAGACTATAAAACAAAATGCCATAACTATAGGGTTAATATTCTTGGAATACTCTTCCCTACATGAATCTCAAGGGATCTTTAAAAGGTTAATTTCTAAAACATGCCCACTGATCACTTTTCACTTTCCCTATTTTAGAGATTTGTGACCAATGATAAAGAAAAATATAAGCATATAAATAAAAGAGTAAGGGTGGTACAAAGTCCATTTCCTCTTCTTGAAAAAAGCATCCCAGTTTTTTTCCTAATCTTCATGGGACTATGAAGCCAATGAATGAGCCTGTGAACCAAGCTAGGTCATTCAAAGCGGTCTCTTCTTGGAATTAGAATTTTAAGCAGAATGTCACCAGAATAGAAAATAGCTGGATTTTATTCATCTGGAAAAGTTTTATTCAAGCCACTATTTGGGCATTTCTAATGCCACGGAATCCCTACCTCACAGAGGGCTCATTATATTTTCAACTAGCTTTTACTGTTGAAAGGTTCATCATTAATGTTAAACCTAATCTTGTAACTTCCACCCTTTGGTTGGTCTAAAATCTGTCACGTATGGCTATACAACATTATCTAATTCATCTTCCATGACAGCATATTAATTATTTAAAGATACTATCATAATCTCCCTTGTCTTCTCCTTGCCAAGCATTCCACTTTATTCAAATGTTTCTTACAGATGTGGTTTCTGGACCCTTTATCATATGGATTCAGCTCCTTAGGACACCATCTGATTTTCAATATCCTTTTTAAGAAAAGGAGCCTAAAGCATGTGGCCAGTGTCAAATATGCAGATACCTTTTCCTTTCTTAACCTATAACCTGGGCTTCTGTTAATCATTCTAAAGCTGCTTGAGTTGTTTTGAAATTCATATTACATATACAGTCTCCCACTCTGTTTGCCATAAATTGAACTCTTCTCATATCTTTTTTTTTCTGTATGAATCCTAAATCAGATCTCCTTAGCTCTTAAAGTTGCAATTAATCTTTTCAACCTTCATTCAAAATGCTACATTCATTTATGTAAGCAACAAAATGCTCTGCACAAACCAGGTGCCTAACAAATGTCTGTACCTCCCTTTCACATGCATCTCTTACCACGGAAGTAATGTTATGTTTACCATGTGATTCTGTGAGAGTGGGGCCTGTGCGTTATATTCTCACCACTTAGCAAAGTGACTAACATACACTAGTTGCTCAAGAACACCTGTTCTTCCCATAATTCTTTGACTGCATTGCCATACTGCTGAAAACAAGTCGATTTAGAGAAATAGTTTGGTTGCATCATCAGTCAATTTATTCAAAACAGTTAGCCGAGTGACTTGATTGTGGCAATGTTTGATTGAAATAATCTCCCTAATAAAGGTCAGTACCATTAAAAACCCAAAGTTCATGGCAGATTTCCACCATATGTCCCATTTAACCTAAGAATGTAACCTTTGTGCCAAGCAACTAACAATGAAATAGCCTGACAAGCATTATTTTTACTGAGTAAAGTGGCTGTTCACATGCTTAATCTCCACAATATTGCCTTGTAATTAGTAGGTTCACAATTCTGATGGCCACTGCTACCACAAGTAAGCTTCAAAGGAGAAATACTTTATTTTCATAGTCTTACCGCTCATGACAATTTTGATTTGAGCATCTATAATTTGTAAGGCATATAATCCATTCCCATTTCTTTAAGTAAAGGAAAATTTAAAGGCATCTCCAGAAAAAATAACTTTAAGAGACTAAATGTCGCAAAAATAAACCATACATACTATTGGTGGAAACAAGCTTCTCACCAGCCTAAAATTTCTAATTAAAATTGGGCTGTCACAATTTTATATCATACACCAACTTGAACCACATTATTTCATAAAAGAAACTTGAAATATCAAATGATTTTAGAATTTGGGAAGTTTTGATCTTTTTTTTTAAATTCTCATTCTTAGGGAAGAATAAGCAGACAACCCTCCTATTCTTTAATAGCATAACATCAGGTGCTTCTTGGAAACAGGGCACAATAGAGAGAGGGCCTGTTTATGAGTCAGAGAAACATGCGCTACTGTCAACCTGAATAAGAACCATCAGATATTTCTGGTGATGAAAACCTGTCAGTGAGGTGACCCAGGCCACATTCCATTCCTTTTATTTTCAGAGATGAGATGGATTTGAAAACCATAACCTGGCTTCTTGATGCAAGGACTCGCCACATGAGATAATCTCCAGCACATTACTATTGGCAAGCAGATCTTTCACCCTTTTGTCTCCATGCATTACAGAAAATGTTAAATCAGTTTGGTGTCCATATAAGCTTTTGATCCTAGGAACAGCCTAGGGTATCATCATTATCTTCCTGAGGACCATGTATAGGCCTTCAGTAAGTAGTACTAATTTAATTTCTCTACTAAAGGAAAAAGTAGCTGATTTTCTAGATCAATATTTGATTGAATATGTTTGAAATGTTAGCAGATAAAGGCCCCTTTTCTGGTCCAAAGACTTTTTGAACCACAGAGGTATGGCGTTCTAGCTCCCCTGGGATTTGAGTGGAAGGAGGTCTCAAAGATCTGTAAGAATCCTTCCTGCCTTTCCTTGTGTTCTTCCAGCAAGACTCTCTAAAGGTTGAGATGAGAAAAAGATAAGATCAAGAACTGGAATGTCTTTATATCCATTTTAAAAAAATCTTTCCTGGGGCTTCTCTTAACTAAAAATAATCGTTTATAACACTAGTTTACAAAAACCTCTTATAATAGGATGGTAGAAAGAAAGCCCATCTGATCAGCTTTAAGGAGCCGATTTTGACAAATAAATTGAGATCTCAGATTCTATCACTCTTACCACTAATTAAACAAGAGTTCCCCAGGTATCATCAAAAGGGAAATGAATACAAATGAAAATGCTGAGGTGTTAGACACAGATTAGAACTTGAGTTGTCTGGTTGGATTGATAAATAGAGTTTTTCACAAACTATACTGGTTTTGTAAAGACATTCACAAAGGAAAAAATGAAGATGGGGCGGAAATCCATCCTTACAATATTTATCTGTACAAATGAAAAATATGGTTCAGAAGTATATGTCACTATAATCCTGATTTTTCCAAGTTAAAATTTTATATAAATTAGCAACTCTTCCCCAAATATAACAGCCTACTGAAAAGTATTAGTCAGAGTAAACAATGCTAGTAATAACTGTTTACTAAGTCTGCATATGAAATTCAAAGAAAGATTATTAAAAAGAATATTTTTTCTTAAATTTGTGCTTTGCTGCAGACATGAACATGCAATCCCTAACTACAAAGAGGGAAGGATACTCAAATTCCTTCAACTTTATTTTCTATCAGTGAACTTTTGCTTGACTGATGGAGAAATTTACTTTCCCCTACCTACTGATTTAAATACACAAGTTCATTTTATAAAGGAGAATGACCACTATATGCAAAGTCAACTGCAACTCCTTGAAAGTGCAGACTCCAGAAATGCAACGGACATATTTTCCACAGATCAAGCCCAATTAATTCTTATTTGAGATGAAAGAATTACAGTCATTTAGCTTTTTCCCTTTTCCATGACAATTCCTCATAGTTTCAATCTCTATTAGTAAAAACATCTAGTCAAGTAGTAATATTTGCAATATAAATTGAACAACTATTCAGAGCAAATCGACTACAAGAAATATATCATATTTCTTTACTTAAAGTGGGAAATAATTAGCTTGTGAAAAGGGACTTCATTTTCTATGCTTTATTTTATAACACCTTGCTCATTGCTAGTATGGAATAGTTGTGCAATAAATACTGTCAATTATGTAGATAAATTTAATTTCCAAGTTCTGCTTTTAAGAAAGAGTTATAATTGGAATGAAATAAACCAAATTTCTATGTGAATCACACAATATTAATGTCATAAGTGATTGTAATAAAATATTTCTTTGTAGTGCTTATACGTCAATTGAACATAACATATAGACCACTGCTATAGGCATAGGGATCTTTAATGCAAACTCAGATTGCCCTGAATCTTTGATTTAGAATCCTTGCTTCAGGGTCTTCTTGAAACCAAACCTCTCTCGTCAACTAGGCAGCTCTGATTGTTAGTCCTTGAGAGAGTTCCCATTTTTTTTCACGGCCTAAAAAGAAAAGAAAAATGCAGTCAGACAGGTTGTTATATGTGAAAATGTAGAGTGACTCCAGCAGGAGATGTAAAGTATTTCATGTACTTTTCCTTAATGTGTCTCTACATTTCCCCAAAACTTTGTTTTATGAAGTTCAATTTACATATCTCTTATAACGGAAGTCCTTTCATGTGCGAAGACTTAAAATTTTAAAGTTCCTGATAATTTTCTTAAATGAAATGATGGGCACCAGGATAATATATTTCACCAGTACATGCAAAACCTAATTTGAAGCTTCTGTCAAATATGTGTATTGATATGAATCGAGGAAATGTTTTCCAAAGAACCTGAGTAGCTATTATATAGATTTTCAAGTTTATCAGCTTACTAATCATTTTTGTTTGTCTACTTTTGCCAATGACTTTAAGATAGCTGAATTTTACAAATGAAATTAACATATGTCTGGAGGCACTGTGATGCACTTAGTATAGTTACCATTTGTTTTGATTATGTGATTAGCATGTTCTTACGTACTCATACCATAACAAATAGGATATGGTTAATTACATGGCTTTTAATGACAGTAAAATAATGCACTAAAATTGCCATTTTTTTCCTTTAGCTGCTACAGTTACCTATATAACACGCTTTTTGATGAGGAGGATTGGATGCTCTTAAAATAGAACAAAGTTTAACCGCGGTGGATAGTATGAATTAACTCCTAACATTTGTATGTAGTAAAAAAAGAAATACAACACACACTGAAAATTTTGAAAAACCTCAGTGATACATAAAGTGTTCTATATTTTTACATATGAAATATTCTGAAGAATTTTAAATAGTTTGAAAGTCATCCTTTTTTTGATATTCATATTCTGAATGACTACACTAGTCTTTAAACTAGCTTAGATAATAATCCTGAACACGCATGTGCACACGCGCGTGCGCACATGCACACACATACACACACACACACACAAATGCTATGACTCCATATTCTGTGTACAAGTTAAGGTCTGAATCTGAGGATGGTAATTCCCCACTTACTAAAATAAGAAATTCCCAGAAGCACAGGGAATAAGTATATGGTTCAGTGACAGCCAAAAAGAAAAACATGGGGCCCATGTAGCCAGATTGGCTCAGATTGTGCCAGGGGGGTTAAGTCCTGTGTACTGGGTTTCCTACATTTATCAAAAACAACAACACTGCAAACAGAGTCCCATCATGTAGACAAAACAGTTACCGCTAATGCAGGACACAGCCACGTTTCTGGAATCAGACAAAGGGGGTTGGTCATCTGAGAACTGTCTACCCTCAACTTGGGGATGAGGCTTCTGGCTACGATCAAGGCAGGATGGCACCATCTCCATCACTGGATGGCGACTCAGGGCAGGCTTTCAGGCCAGAAGTACCAGGGGTACTAAAGTTAGGTGATAGAAGTAAATACAGAGATAATACCTACTAATATTGTCTCAAGAAATCTACCAGAAATGTGTAACACTTTACACTTTATGCCAAGGCACTAACACTGCTACCCATAGCATAATGCTGAATGAGTACTGCAAAAGCTACACGCTGGGGGATGTTTTAGATGACCTTTATAAATAGAAGCTATGAAGCTGCCCATGGAGGCAGGGGATATGAATTATGTAGTCCTTGGTAGTTTTCTGGGTCCATGTTATAGACTAATCATGGTATATTGAACAGAGCATGAGGTAGAGGCCCTGCCTTGCAGACTTTGCTGTTGCCAATAACTGCATTGCTTTGGGAAAGCCAAAAACCAGTGTAAGTCTCCATTTCCTCATTTATGAAATGAAAAGAGAAATTATTCTGGTGATCTTTAAGATCACAAAAAATTCCAAGGTTTATATATTTCTGGTAGATTTCATGAGACAATGAGTATTACCTCTATTTTTTTTGTTGCCCCACCTGATTTCAGTAGCCTTGTTACTATTCATTAACGTTTATAAGCTGATTTTCCTAAACCGCATGTCTTTTAAAGGTTAGCGACTCTTCCACCATTCCCACAACATCCTTAAGGAAGTTGATCATATCAAACAGTAACTCTGAACGAGTAGTAACTAAGCACCCAGCAGTGATGTTGGATATGCAATGGTCTCCAAAGGGATAAAAGTAAGCCCGGCAAAATCTTTGTTGTGTACCTGCCTCCAATACATTTGCGAAGGAGCCTTAATGAAAAATGAGAGTGATGCTCCCATCACACATTTTTGGATTACCGTGCAGCAACATCAATTGGAAACCTAATGAAACAGAGACCACCTACAGAGGAGGGATATTGTGTTCCTCTGTCCGCCTGCATCTAATTTCCCAGCTAAGTGTATGGAACAAGCTGCCTGTTTGTTTGAGCCCCTGGTACTGGCTGACCATACATTTAACATTGATAATTGGCATTGCCAATTTAACCTCACAATTATGTGATGATGGTAACAGAAAATAAGCACAGTACCATCTCAAAATTCCAGCACTGTATCCTCTCTCAATGGTGAAATATCGGAATGAGATTCGGTCCCAAATAAATTAACTGGTCATTCTCTGTTAAACATTTTTTTTTCAGCGACTAAGGGAGCATGCTATGTGTTCATCAAATAGAACTTCTCCCAAGCAGGGGAATGACAATAAGAAACTTAGTAGGTGAGTTCCCACAAAGCCTATCAGAGAGGACATAAAGAGAAAAGCTGATGATGTTCCAAATGTTAAGTGTTCTATTCTTTGTTTTTGCACCTGTTCAAACTGGCATCTGTTATTAGGCTTCGAACTAGGGAAATGTTACTAGAGAAATGTTACTACTTTCTGTTGAGCTGGCTGGGAAAAACAAAAGGAAGAGAATATAGTGTAAAATATTAGTTCCTTCTCGTGTGTTATTTCAAAATGAAGTTATTGCATTTTCCTTGTCAGGCTCCCTACCTGTGCTTATCATCGACTGCAGTTTCTTCTTCTTCTTCCTTTTTTTTTTTTTTTTTAAAAAATTTGACTTCTAGAAGCCATCTGGCATTCAGTCTAATTCCCACATTACAGTTCTCCATAAGTCAGGCTGCTGACTGCCTGTCAAGTTATAGGATTAAGTTTAAGGTTTTCTTAATTCATCGTGAGGTTCTTCGTGGATTTGATCTATTATGTCTTCCTGAGCTTGTCCAGTTGTAGATTTCTGCATGTGATTGATGTTTAGCAGGTGTTAGTGTGCTAGAGTTTTCTAAATATCAACTTCACAATTCAAGGGAGGTTTGGGAAGACACTACAGCTCAAAATTGTATTGTTCCACAACTGGCAAATGGCCTCCCCGCTGAAATTCAATGTTGCAGAGCTATTTATTAAGTTAAAAAGATGGATATTTCAATATATGGAAAAAGTAGAGGCTCAAATTCCATCATCAACTCACCAGTTGTGCCTGTGTATTCTGTGGCTCTCAGGATACAATATATCATTTAACAGGTAGGACAACTAGGTGAGTTTAAAAATACAGATTTATCCTTTGTTGTGAATTACCATGAAATTGAATGTTATTTTGCAATGTCCTACTTTTAAGTTGATTCCTTTGTGTGATTTTTGTTTTCCTAGTGTAAAGCTTAGGTGCCTGATGAAAACCTAGGTATTGTTAAGGAGAGGTGAAAAAGGGTCTCCTTAAAAGAGTGTACCTAATAAAGCATTTAAAATGCATTATTTTACATTCGGAAGATGCATAATATTGAAGAAAACATGAATGAAGGAATAATGTTCATTAAATATTAAATATCTACATAAGTGACAGCTGTTAGAAATTTTTTATTTTTTATGTTAAATGCACTGTAATAAGATTTCTAGATTGGAATATGGTAACTTCCATACTTCTCATGACCATGGGCCATTTGTCTTATCTTTGTGTAAATGACACAAAAATTAATGTTTATTAAACCCACAAAATCTTTAGTTTCACATTGGTCTTTAAGCCACTCTTTGTTTTATAATTTTACCTCACCTCAATTTCAACTACAGGAAGGAAATTGTTACACACACATTATAGATGAATTATCCAATACAGGGAGATTAAGGTACTGTGCCTGTGGTCATGCTGAGAGTTAATCAAAATTAAAATGCACAGCTCTGAGTTCCCAGGCCACCTCTCAGCCCCTGGAGCAATGCCACTTTGCACTATAAATTGTCCCTATAATTTTAAAAATTTATAATGTACTCATCAATTTGCATATCTGAGTATGAATTACAAACATTAAAATTGGCTACAACTCCTCATCACCCAATTACTAACAAGAAGCACCTAAAAGGTCAAAGTCATGAAAGACCAAAGTAAATAGATAGGTGTGCACCTTTTGCTAAACACCTTGCATACAATTCAACATGTATTCATTATTTTTTGACACTAGAAGATAGTTCAAACCTTGGTTTATTCATAGTAATTGACTTTGAATTATTAGGAGAAATTATAATAACATTTCAAAAATTATTTTAATATGATTCAGTCATGATGATATCAACTTTAGATTCAAAGTGTTAGAGGAAGGTATTTATATACATACAAGGCAATAATAAGATAAAATGTAGTTTTGAATTAGAAATTGGTACATTATTTATTTATCATTTTTTTCAAATTGCACACTTATTTTTAAAATCAGTAATATATAGAAAGGGTCATATAACATATAACAAATATTAAGCAATGACTAAATACATTCTAGTTTTGGATTTTCTTTATTTCTATGAACATTCCTTTTATAATAAGAAGTTTTCTATATTTTTTTTTTACTTTTAAACTGTTATTCTCATATTTTGTCCTATTATGGTTCTATTGTTTGGTTTCTAGCAGTCAGTCTCAATGGAACAATTAACCATATAGATTGATAAGAATACTAACTCAAGAAAATTGTCAAAAGAACAAGGAAAATCCAGGATCTTTTTAAAAAGGCTGGTGGTCTCATGAAAACTGTAATTAAAGTACGTGTGATTCTGCTTCTGTGTCTGTTACACAAATCCACCAGTCTCAAATGAAAGAAAATTTGGGCCCC